ACGCTTACGAAAATACCCCTTGCCGTGGATATGATAGCAGTAGAGAATAGAAAATTATTTGTGTGGCTCTCTCAATCTCAACGACAATGAGGTGAATTATCCTGCATCTAGTGAAGTAATGTACGTTATTTAGACTTACGGATGACCATGGCGCAGCTGTCCACAGACCATCACAACGACCAAGATTACAAGATTGGACAGTTTCTGGCCGATCACCTGCTATACACAAAGACTCTAAAACTTCTTCTATTTTTCCATTCACAGAGAAGCATCTGGTTTCTCTCGTCTGTTGTCCATCACCGCATGTGGTGCTGCATTCGCTCCACTGACTAACAGACCATCGATATAATCTGTAATGAAAACCACCAAGTATTAATGAAACCAAAACTAAAGCACAGCAAGCATTGAAGTGGCTTCAGAGGGATTTTATTACAAGCCAGTACTACTACTAGATAAAATCAAAGAAAGCTTAGAAAGAACTCCCGTGTGCTGAGAGTATTGAAGACACATTAAAAATTAATTCAAAATTACTTGTACATGAGATATTGATAGAAAAGCTGAAAACTAATTATGTACATCAGGTAACTAATATGAACAGAACAGAACAAAAAAATTATGAATTATTATGCTAATTAGAGAATTAATATGAACAAATTTTAACCCAAAATTAATCAGGCCTGTCTATTGTCCTAGAGCATTTATGTACCAAATTTTATTCAAATGTGATGATCAGTAATTGAGATATCAGTGTTAATTAATTATGTTAATTAGGAGATTAATAAGCATAAATATTTACCAAAAACTAATTGGGTTTCTGCATAGTTCTCTTTAAAAGTTTCATTAAAATCCAATTTGTGGTTCTTTATATATCAGTGGAACATTATGCAAATTAGGTAATTAATATCCAATTAAAACTAATTAGGTCTCTGCATAATCCTAGAAGATCTATGTAGCAAGTCTCATTGAAATATGATGATTACTACTTGATATATCAAAAGCTGAAAATTAATTAAT